CACTTTTTGTTATCCTTTGGAACCCATCTTTTCTCCAAATCTCTCACACTCTCTCTATTTGTTGATTGACATTTTTGCCGTCCTAAAATCATAGCTAAACCTTCTGTTTTTGTGCCTTTTTGAACCTGTAAAGCACGATAATCACGGGGTTTCTTAACTATGAAAACTAGTTAAAACCCAGTACTATTTACTTAGTTTTATATGTGCTGATGTTAGCATAGATGCCCATTTCTATTTCTTGATGATTTATGTTCTTCGGCAAAAGTCTTGGAAATTTTATGGGGTTTCAGTCTCTTGCTCTTCTCCTTTGACTTGGCTTGCTGATATTTTATCAGATCTTCACAATCATAGTTCTCTTAAGGACCTGGTCTTTATCCAAGAGTTTGAGCTGGAAGCTTTGAAAGTTCTCTGGCCTGGTCAAAATAACAAAGAGATCATCAAGAATACGGGTTTTTCTCTAAGTTTATTAAGGATTGTTATCTTTATAGCAAATTTTATTTTTGTAGGGATTACCCGTTTGAAGTATTTTCTTAGGACAGCTTTAACTTTGTAAATTAGGGTTTTCTGGGTACTCTGATGGGTCGTGAAAGCTAATTCCAGTCAAGGATTCTTTTGTATTACCAAAATATGGCTGCAACTGAGCACTACTTTGTGGAGTGGAAAGAGCAATATATGTCAAAAGAGAGGGGCAATCGTGTGGTACACTATTTCTTGAAGGATAATTCAGGGGAATCCATACTCGCTGTTGTGGGTACCGAGAGGAGTGTTAGGCACATGTTTTATGTTGTTTCTGAAGAGTTTTTGAATGCCCATGGGGCCAAGAACTCGGTTCATGCCGGGTTTAGATGGAGATCAAGGAGAGAGGTTGTGAACTGGCTCACTTCTATGCTGTCAAAGCAGCATATGCAAGCCGAATGCCCAAGTATGTTTTCTCATTTCCTCGTGTGTTAGCACTCTTGAATTATGTAAGTGTTTCCGCTGGTAGTGATTGATGAATGTAGTGGAAGATTGGAGGGTTTACTTCTTTATTGTCTTTTAGCTTCAAATTTTGTCTCTTGCAATTGTTGTGAATTTTTACTTCTTCAAGTCCCCATTTTGGAAAAAAGACCACCTTTTCCTTATCCGTAATAGATTTCAACGGGGAATTTGAAAGTTGAATTAATAGGATATTTTGCTTGATTTGTGATCTTTTAGCATTAAGAAACATAGATGGTCCGATAAACATTTATTAACTTTTCTTGGGTTTGACAATTTCTTCAAGGAACTTGATATCCATGACTGAAACTTCATGATTTGATGTTCTAACTAGGCACATTGCAAATTCATCTTCCACAGTGAGTATCCTTGTTGCAATCTTTCTTGTGTGTTGATTGGTTTGAAGTTTGGATGATCTAGTAGCTTTTGGTTTCTATTAAAAAGATGCTATTGAGTTCCAACCAAGTTTAAATATGTAGAATGCTTAAGAATTTTTCTTTGCCGCCTGGTATTTAAAAATGTGATTTTTCTGGTTGCGTTTATATGGATATATCCGTGTGTCTGCATCTGATAGTTTAATCAATGATAATTTCACTGATTAGATACATCTTTCTTTTCTTTGTTCTACTTATTTAAATACTTCCTTTATAAAATTAAGTGGGCAGTATAATGCTTCTGGCTATCGCACCATAACATTGACATTGCATTACATTTTATTACCTCTACTTGGTAGATGAGAAACTACGCATATGATAAATAAACATTGGAATCTCAAATGCAACCAACTTTTGATATCTGCTTACCCTTTACCTTTTTCTGTTTTGATGATTCCATTAAATGATAATGATGACATACCCATATTTCATATGGATATTTTCTTCAGATGATTCAATTATATGATAATGATGACTTAGCCTTATTTCATATGGATGTTTTCCATATATGGCTGTCACTTGCCAGTGTTCTATTTTAGTTTTGTTGTTTCTGTTATTCTGTAGAGAAAATAGACATAGCTTATAATATGTCAAGAAAAAAATTATTCTATTTAGGTGTAATAATTAGCATGTTAGGTCAACATTTACTTCTTGTCAGGGTAACTAATAAATGTGGCATCTCGTGCCTGATGATTTCCTTCATTTACAGCATTTAGGGGTATTCATAGATCTAGATTAAGAGGCACACTATTATGGTCGCCCTTATTTATTACTTTAAACTTGGAAAAATAATGCTTTTTAAACACTGTTCTGATCCATTTTTTATGGTTTTAATATCTGATTAGTATCCTGATTGCAAAATTTAGAATATGATGTTTGATTTCGTGCCTTGCTCACAAAAATTCGAATTTTGAGATGTTCAAAATATTTCTCATGAAATGGAGTATATGCATTTTTCATAGCTGATAATCCTGAAAATCTTTTCATTACAACGTTTTTCTATCCATCTAATTATATCTTTGCTTTTGGTTAAAAAAAATTAGTTTTGACATATGAACTCTTGATATTTTCCGCACCCCTTTGACTTCCAACCAAACCAGTGATGCTGTAAATTTTGGGATGTTATATATGTGAAGGAATGCCAATAAAGAAAAAACATGTTAAAAATTTAGCATCTTATTATCCTTCTGAATGGACAGTGTCACCAAAAGAGAATTTTGCTCCAGAAATCAATGCTCAACACACCCATGTGCCAGCTCAAAAGGGCCGTGTAGCAAGGAACTTGAAAGCTCATCATTTAGACATTGTATGGTCAGGCGTAGCATGGACCTGTGGTAAACAGCTCAATCACTACCCAGAATTTTACAGGAATGGGATTACGATACCGGTACGCTTCTACTCATCTTTTTTTTTAACTTGTCAAACCCTAGCTTTCTTTCTTTCTTTCTTTTCTTCCTGAAAAACAAGACATGTTTTTCCTTTATTGAAAGTCTTGTCAATTTGGGAAAAAGAAAATCAGCATCTATACCCATTAAAAATGTTATACTTTACCATTCAATAAGACAATTGTGTTTTTTAACCATTGAATAAAACAATTAGCCTGCCTTATTAGTCGATATATAAAGCAATTTGCCTCTTTTATCCATCAATTGGCCTTTTGTCAAAATCGTTAACTTTTTAACCATCAAATTACCAATTGACCCAGGACTTGAATTAAAATTGGAAGACCACACAATTCCAGAATATAAAATTAACAGTTTGATGCCGCAAAAGATAAAAAAATGATGCACAGTCATGCAACATTTTATTTGTTTTACAATAAAAAATTACAAAAAGTGAAAAATAAAATAAAATTAATGTTACTATAATCGTGTCGGCGCTACTTCGAAATTCACGTGTTGGCATGTCTTTGTAGTGTCATGTTAAGTACATATGTACTTACCACTGCTGCCTATTTACTGAGTAAAAAATCTAGCAGAAAGAGGAGATAGGATATGTAGAGTAAGATCTGGGTGAAACAGCCCCTTTTAAATCCTTCTTTTATGTCTGTCGTGTAAGCACTTGTTCATTTTGAATTATCTTCACTTTCATTCATGCTCAAGTGACGGAGACGTCTCTTTTTCCATCCGTATAGGCTCAGACCTGAGCACTTGTGCTTCTCATTCTATAATTGAGATATGAATGTGAAGATGTGAAATTTAAATTTTTTCCATATTTGATTCTGAAAATTTACTTCAAGCATGCTTAAATTTTATTACCATGTTAACTTTGGATTTGTATTTTTTTTCCCCTTTTATTACATTTATTGATTATTGATGATAGCTTTGCGGTTCTGAAACCTTTTTTTTTTCCCCTTGCCCTTCTCTTTTCAGGTCCATTCATTTGTCTTTGTAATGGCTGAGAAAGAAAACCGTTATATCGCGTACTTGGAAGATATGTACGAAGATAGAAAGTGCCATAGAAAGGTCAAAGTCAGATGGTTTCACCATAATAGAGAAGTTAGGGGCACTGCTTCTTTACGGAATCCACATCCTAAAGAAGTTTTCATCACCCCATATGTACAAATCATCAGTGCAGAATGTATTGATGGTCCTGCAATAGTCTTAACTCGAGAACATTACGAGAAATGCTTGGCTGTTTTCCCCCAGGATTTGGTAGGAAAAGTACATTTTTGCTTCAGACAATTCAAGAGCAATAGAGTAAAACCTTTCAAGCTAAGTAAGTTGCGTGGATACTTCGATCAACCATTTTTCTTGTGTTTCAGTCCTGATTTTTTTGAGGATGAAGAGTTCAGCTCTGAAGATGATGTAAAAGTTGGAGCTAAAAGGAGCAGAAGATGCAGAGAGCATCAGAAGGCTGCACAAGAATTATCATACAAGAAATTGAAGTATGGGAAACCATTCAGGCATGTAGAAGGCCACGATTGGCATACTCCAAGTTTTAAGGTCAATGACAAGATAGAGTTTCTTTGCCAAGATAGTGGCATTCGAGGTTGCTGGTTCAGGTGCACAGTTTTAGAGGTTTCTGGGAAGCTGATGAGAATTCAATATGATGATGTTAAAGATGAAGATAGTTGCCGCAATCTTGAGGTATGACTAGGCACCTATATCTCCTTAAATCTTTTCAAGGAAATCAACAGAACAGAGAAATAATAGTGGCTGTTTGCCTGTTTCCGTAAAGGAAGGTTGAATAGGTTTCAGGCATTTTTTTCTTAATATTTGTTGTTGTTTCCTGTTGGTGAATTATTGGTTAGCGTTGCTGGAATCCCATTGAAGCTTATGAAATTGCTTTGTTATCAATATGTTGTTTAATTAGTGTTCTAGAAAAGATATTAATGTTAGAATCAGCTCTGTTGCAGCTATGTGCAACTTCTGCATACTTGTATTATGTACTACCAGCACACAGGCTTTGTAAATCATACGATGAATCATATGTTGAATTCACAAGTCCTTTGAAACTATGATCTAGGCTAAATTTAATCAGTTGGGACTTGGTATACACCCAAGGAGGATTAAAATTTGAGGAATTTTCCAATATAGGACACTTTAAAAAGAGAGTGAATTTATCCACTATAGTTAGGTTTTACTTTTAAATAATGTCCATTGTTTTGACAGATACCTTCTCCCCCTTCCTTTGGGCATGAATTTCGAACCATCTAAGCATTCTCGTCAAACTGGGCAAAGTGATGAGAGTTTCTAGTCCATTTATAAACTCTCTGTTTCCCTTTTGTATGAATTCCAAACCATCTTGTTCTCATCAAACTAGGCAAAGTGACGAGAGTTTCTAGTCCATTCAGACACACTAGTCTTTCTCATCAACTTTGCCTAGATTTCCTAGAGGAAATTGTTTTAATAAAATGGCACTACAGCTGACTGAATGGCCATATTTAATAAATATGCATTGGCCCAAAAAGATTGACTAGTTAGAAAATTTTTCCTGAAATTTCTTTGGAATCCATTTTAAATCTGGTCAATTAAGTTTTTTGATGTATTCATTACTCTTGCAGGAATGGATCCCAACATACAGACTGACCCGGGCTGATAAGCTGGGAATGAGACATCCCGGTCGTCCAACAACCAGGCCTGCCTGTCCTCGTGATCAAGGGAGCCAGAACTTCGAGGTTGGAGCTCCAGTTGATGCCTGGTGGAGTGATGGTTGGTGGGAAGGGGTCATATCTGGCTCTAGTGATTGTGAAAATGGAAAACATCAAGTTTACATTCCGGGTTTGTCTTTGAATTTCAATTTGTTTCCTTTTATTCTTTTAATATTCCTTCTTTTAACCCCCCCGTCTGATTTCTAGAATAATTTTCTCATCCCCCCCCCCACCC